AAGTCAATCGTCAAAGGACATGCACTGTCCCTCCTACTGGCCTACCTGCTCCAACTCCTACCAGTGAGGCTACTCAATTTCCACTGCAGCGTGAATGAAAGATTCATAACCTGGATCTCATAATTTCTGGTTTGTTTCTGATGGTCCAGAGCCTATCAACAAACTGTTATGCCCGGTGTAGGGATTCATTTCTGGCTGGGCTGGTAGAGACTGTTTTTACCTTACCTTATGTTGGCACTTTTGTAGCTTACATAATGAAGTTATCTTTTCACCAGTTACCAGTATGAGTCAGAGTACTTAGCAAGTTTTCATGATACTTTCTCTCCTCTGAGCCTTGAGCCTGGTCCAGAAACCCTTTAGGGTTGAATACTAGCAGCTAGGTTCTGCAAAACCCAACATTGTTCAGACTTACCATCTGAATTGTTGTACCTTCACTGGGTCTCCTATTCACAGATTTGTATCTTCACCTTCATGGAGCATTGGAAGTACAGATATGGATCTGGAATGGCAATGGCATATGGGAGACAATCGAACAAGGTTATGTTCATCCTCAATTACCTGACCGCCGACTCTGGCTGCCATCATGTGATGAGCCCAGTTAGATCACCTGTAAAATGGCTAGCACTTATAAGGGTAGGCAACTGAAGGACTTATGATATTAGTTGGACCAAAATCGAGATTGTGTAGTAGAATCTGACATTGCTGAAGTGAGTCTGTTTGCCAAGGATCATCAGGAAAAGTGGTATTTGCACTAATTGCAAATATAGGATCTATATCCCTCAGGGCAAAAAAGACAAGTGCCAGGTTTAAAATGACATATAGAGTCATTTAATGCTATTATTATGAGCATCCACATTAATTGCAATTCTTGCTCTTAGTGTGATGTGCTCCAACATAATCAGACCTGTCTCTGAACCATCCATAGTTGTCTTTTAATGCATTATTTTTCACTTGGTAGTCAGCTTTAGATGAAAAAAAAAGCCAAAAAAGGCAACAAAAGCAAATGATATTGAGAGATGGATTATTGCTAACAATGTATTCCTACTCAGCGCCTGATTTCCTAGCGCTGCACATCCAAAATATTACTAAAAATGTATTCCTACTCAGTACCAGATTTCCTAGCCTTTGCAGCATGCCCAGCAGTCTCCAGAGCAGAGAAATTGAAAGTGTTGGTAGGAGCACCTTCAGCCACACCGGGAATGTTACCATTTCTATTTCAAACAGTTAGTAAAATTAAGGTGGAAAAAAAATATTACGCACCAAATTCCTTCCTTCAATTCATCCCAAATCATCTCTAGGTAGCTAGGACATTCCTTTTCAAAGTTCTCCAGGAGGCTAATATAGTGATCCCATCTAACACAAAATTGACCATAAAATGAGCTGCTGACTGATGTTACAAGTAAAAAAAATCAAACCTAGGTTTGAAGGTGTGATTCAGAAAAGTCCGTGGGATGTCCTCTCATGATACCTAATAAAATGCATTCAACCTGTATATTCAAGTTTCATCAGTGATGAGTGAGAGGGATATAAGGTACAGTGGCTCAAAAAAGTGTCCCAATGTTTGTAGCTTTTCATGTAATTGCTATATCATGTGTCGAGACATGGGAATATGACTAAGCTATAGGGAGATGTCGGAAAGGTCTGCATCTCAGCTCCATTTCGGTTTCCTATACCGTGGGAAATTAATGACATTATTTGAAGATATGAGTATTTTAATTTGATGACTCATTGGGACACTTTTTTGACTTTGAGTTTTACTAATGTAATCTCTATAATTCTAGTACTGTGTGTGACCTCCTTCTGCTCCAATCACTTCTGCCACTCTTCTAAACATATTCTCTATCAATTTTGGGTATTTCTCTTTGGTGATTCCATCATACTCTGCTGTAACACTGTCTCATAGTTGGAATAGCCCCTACAGTGAATCTTGATATGCTACAAGTAATTTCTTGAGTGATTCTCAGGGGTATTCAATATGGTTGATGTCTTGGGTCTATGTTGAACATGATAGAATAGTAATATCATGGTTTGCAAGCTATTGGTGGCTTATTTAGAGGTATACTTAGGGTCATTGTCTTATTACAAAACAGTATCTTCTTCATTAACTCATAACTTCTGCATGCTTCTTAGCAGACACTCCTGTCAAATGAGTATTTACTACTCTGTATTCATCCTCCCCTTTGCTTCATAGAAGATTCCCACTCCATTTTATCTCATATAGTCCTATACCATCAAGTTTTGTCTTGAAACTTAAGGTGTTTATTTAACTTTTCTTTATCTTAATGATTGTCTTATCTATTTTAATATAAATTCCTTGCCATATGATTTCATCCTATTGATTTTAACCTTATCTAACTAGATAAACCTCTTTCAGCTATTAGCAGTCCGATATTTGTACTTGAAAGTAGCATCTTGTCTTTTATTTCTATAGGTTGGAGACAGAGGAATCTGTTTTTCTTGATTATAGCTTTAAGATGGGCTGTCTTGAGAGTCTGTCTGACTATTTGAGTAGAGATAGTCATAGGAATGATGGAAATAATCAATTTAATCACTTTATTAGCATCAGCAGTCTTTCCAATTAGAATATAGTGATTAAGAGATCTTAAGTCTTATAGAGCAACCTTCTAGATTGGCTACCAAATAACTTAAAGACCATAATATTACTATTCTATCATGTTCAACATAGACCCAAGACATCAACCATATTGAATACCCCTGAGAATCACTCAAGAAATTACTTGTAGCATATCAAGATTCACTGTAGGGGCTATTCCAACTATGAGACAGTGTTACAGCAGAGTATGATGGAATCACCAAAGAGAAATACCCAAAATTGATAGAGAATATGTTTAGAAGAGTGGCAGAAGTGATTGGAGCAGAAGGAGGTCACACACAGTACTAGAATTATAGAGATTACATTAGTAAAACTCAAAGTCAAAAAAGTGTCCCAATGAGTCATCAAATTAAAATACTCATATCTTCAAATAATGTCATTAGTTTCCCACGGTATAGGGAACCGAAATGAAGCTGAGATGCAGACCTTTCCGACATCTCCCTAAAGCTTAGTCATATTCCCATCTCTCGACACATGATATAGCAATTACATGAAAAGCTACAAACATTGGGACACTTTTTTGAGCCACTGTAGATATAGGTCTCACTGCACTTGATATCAATGCAAGGATGGGTATATTGTTCAAAAATGGATTTTTCTTCTGCCCCCACTTTCTTTCTTCTCCCTTGGAACCCCACCATTGCACAAATAGTAGCAGTCTGAAGATAATGTTCTGGAGGGGAGAAGCGTCATCATAGATGAGATTCTGTACAGCAATTTCAAGCTTCAATATGTCTAAAGCCTTTCAATAGACAGGACACTTACCTTGATATCAATTCCTCCATGTATGAATCTTGCCTCCTCCAACATCCACCTGATAGCTTTCTCCAACTCCTCATGTTTTAGCTCTCCTATTCCATAGGTACTGGGGACACTGATGTGGGTTTTGGCCACAAAATCCCCTCTGAGTTGGCCGGCAGCCTTCCAAGTCTATAGTATAGAATGAACAACTGAGGCACATCTAAGGAAAATACTCACATAGTCTATCAAGTAAGCTTTCAAGTCATCATCACTTTGAATGAGCAACATCTTCTCCCACAACACCTCATTGTCCCTAGTGCTAGACACCAGTAGGTCCCAGCAGAGCTCCTCCCTGTCCAAAGCTGAAGGAAAGCTGTTAACTGTAGCTACATGGAGGCGCATTGCCTTGTGAGCAAAGATAGCTATTCACTTAATATGCGGGCTGTTCAGGTTGCTAAGTTTCACCTTGCTCCTTGGAACGCTAGTGATGCTGAAGTACTTGTTGGATTTCTGGTTGTCTTTCTTCAGGCCTATAACTATCTGGTGTGTTCCTCAAAAAGTCAGTCCAATCCTTTCCAGTATGCTGGTACACTTACCTCCTCTCCAGCAAACTTTTTCTCCTCATTTTGAATGCCCTCATCTACCTCATCTACCTCCACCACCACCTCCCCTTCCTGATCTTGGTGGTCCTTATCCTAGTCCTCATCCCCATTCCCGTCCTCTCCAACCTGGTCATCAATGCCATCATCCTCTATCTCGCTGCTACTCAAGCCACCATCTAGAATCATTCTTACCATATTACTACCTTTATCATTCCTTTCAGGGGAATGATGGTGACAACGACTGGTTGGCGGACTGTCACATACTGAGTCCTTGTCAGACATCGCCTTGTCTTCTCCTGCCTCCTCCAAGAGACAATCAGCAGCACACTTTCTGGAGGCTGAGACTTTAAGTTAGCGATAGTCTTTCAATTCTAGGATACTTATCTTTTTTCTTAGCCTCAGCTGCATCCTCAGCTACCTTCTTCTTCTTCTGAGCCAAATCCTTGAGATGCTTCTCTTCTCCTGCAGTCAACCCTGGGCCTTTGACTGCATTTTTTCCCCCTTTAGCTGTTGAACTTGATGCAGGAGTAGCTTTTGTTCTGGAGGCAGGAGTAGCTTTTGCTCTGGAGCCACCCTGAGGTGTAGGCTTGATGCTTGTTCCTGCACTAGCACAAGTAGATGGACGAGTGCCAGCTGAAGTTGTTATCTTCTTCTTGGGTGCCATGGGTGGATGAGGTTGAAATGGCAAGCTAAACAAGCGAAATGAACTCATTAAATATAAACTTGCTGAGCGCAGCCACAGCAGACATACTAGTAATCATTCTCTGCCCATGCATCCATGCAAAAGTATCAAATAATGGTAGTGGTAGATCATAAATATGTGAAGTAGGAGTGATCTTTCCAACTATTTCGATCTTTCTCCCATGTTTTAAACCCACCATCAGTATGCATCACCAGAGACGCCCTCCTACCCAAATAATCCAAATTGAAATGAGTAGTTTCTCCTGACCTAAAGATTACAAAGTCCCCATTCCTGAGTTCTGTGACCAGCCCCTACTCTCTCATTACTAGTTCACCACCAGTGAACTCCCCTACCACCAGCACTAGGCATAGTTCAAAGTCCTTGGCATCCCTATGTGCCACTGTGCACACATTAATATTCACCACCAATGAGAGGAAAGGTCTGACTGGAGATCCCTCAGCATTAGGCAGAATGTCTACCAGCTTGACCAGAACCTTGTACTCATCGGGAAGGTGACATGAGATCTGATTGACCGTCAACAAATAATTGTTGGAGTCAAATTCTGACTCACCTCTTCTTTGATCCATTCAAATATTTCAGCCAAATTAGCCTGGATGTTCAGGTACAGCTGCTGTTGAGTAAATGTCTCTTTGGACGTGTAAGGTAAAGTCTGTCTAAGGTTAGTTCTTCTCCCTCTAGCAGCCTCTAGGTCATGAGGATGGACACCCTGTGGCACAGTATGACTCTACAAGAAGCATCAGCATCTAAGACTTTAAGTATAAAGTTTCAACTTACCATCAGTCCATAGTGATTCCAGTGACTGAAGTGTGTGCATCTAAAAGGCTCATTCGCCTCTGCTTGCAAATTGATCTCTGGATCTTGACTTTCTTCAGAAACAGACATAGCAGTCTGATCCTTGAAAATGTCCAGGCCATCAAAGGCTGACTTGAGCATCGAAAATAAGGACAATCACATGCTAGAAGGCATACTGGTGCAGATAAGGGCCATCAGGCTGCCATCTGAGTTACGAATATCCAAGGCCCCTGGAATGATCAACATCGGAACTACTAGAAAAGTATCCACCATTTTGATGCCCCCAGGATAGAAAGTAGACAACTGTCTCAATCTATATGAGCATATCTACGCCAATAGAATAAGCGAACTCACCTTCTCCTTCAGCTCATCTATGTCCCTCATCACCATGCCCCCATCCTTCACTATCCTGTGCTGCTTTATCGTCCATAACAAGTTCTTCACCCTGTCGCGGCTTCCTGGGAAGTGAAGGTTGCTAGGGTGATTACGATCGAACATGGTTGAAATGTGAATGGGAGAGGAGGCCATAGACCCTGTACAAGGGATGATGGGTGCTGGTGGTGATGCTGCGAAAGACGTGAAGAGTGGGGCCTCAGGCTGCTGCATGATGCAAGTCCCACTTATGCCATTCTCAGGCTGTTTGTATCCTCCCAACATGGTATGTAGCAGGTGTTCCAGTACTTTCTTGACCGCTTTGGAAGTGTATAGTTACTTTAGAAAGTTATCACATGAGTCTAATGCTGAAACGTTACTGGCAATGATAGTCACTTGATTAGTACAGAATTGATGAAGCAGTCAATATCTCTGATGCATGTATAGTCCAGCTGGTGAGAGACAGACCCATAGATCACATTGGGCATGCTCAAGGGAAAGTGCTTCCTCAATGCAGTGATAATAGGTATGATCTTCCCTTTAATAAGACACTGCATTTTCGGAGCTTGTGTTACTAGTGAGACTCCAGGTTTAAAGCAAAACACAACATGTATGACATACCAGCACATTTATCTGGATGACGCAGCATCTTCCCAACTTCCCAAGATACTTCTGCAGGGGCGGTGGTGATGTTCCAGTGTATGTTTTTGTCTGCGATCAAAATTAATGCATAAATGGAACCACCACCTACCAAAAGCATGAACTTGACCCCAGATGAGATCCAGGAAAAGAAGCTACTCCATGCCGGTCTCAACCCGGGTTCTAAAGGCATTATCCTAGCATCATAGAATTCTGTTATTGTAGAAATTGATGGGTGTGATCGTATGGTACTTTGAATTAAATTGATTGCATGAGCACAAGTAATGCAAGAGCATGCCAAACATGTACCTCAGACAATTCACTGCTAGCTGCAGTCGGCTCACCATAGTCATAAAGCTCCATCCCACTCCCATCCCAGAATATGTATGACAATGTTCCACCAGACATGGTAGTACAGCTCCAGTCTTTGGATCATTCTCCCTGGCTTTGAGGGTGCCAAGCATGCTGGAGATCCATGAGGTGAGATCCATTCTATGAGAAGCGTCGAAGGATGCTATAGAACCGATGATCGCTTCGGCCGAAATGTTGGAGGAATGTGCGGTGTTCTCTCCAATGGTCCACCATGCTCCTGTGACTAACCGGCCACCCCTCCTTGGGCAGTATGGATCGTATGCAACATGTGTATGTGCATGGTTGGGTGCAGGGTGGAGCTGTAAATGGGTGACGTCCCTTTTTACAAATTACAAATTAAAAAAGAACTCACCTGATCTATAGGTGATTGCCTGTCTTGAACTTCTTCTTCAAATCTGTGAGCAGGAAAATAGGAAGAGTAATGAGATAACAGCCAGTCCTTCAACAAGGAGGCCTCATCATTACTTATCAGTTGCAGGGCATTCACAATGAGATTGACATCCTCTTTGGTCAGTGGAAATGTCATGGGAGATGTTACAAAGGTGGGTTTTGGGTGGATGTTGTAGATGTTGAGCGGGGGTTCCCAAATTTGGGAATTCTAGACCTTGTAGCACCTTCGCACCCCCAGCCAGCATAAAATTCCCACACACATTGCTTCTACCATGTATTCCCAAGTTCAACATAGTTCAGAGTCTTTGTCAGCTAAGCTTCCTAACCTGGTCTGTGCTGATCAAAATCAAAATCAAAATCTATCTTTGCAATCAATGGGATCAGTGCCAGCTGAAATGATGGCTGCTGAGTGTGCAAGGCTATGTCCTCCCACTTGAAGCTTTGAAGCCTTCCATTGGATCAGCAAAGTTTCGTACAATCCACGGCAACTTCACAGCACACAACATGTAGAACATGGTAAGTAACAGCTCAACTGTGGTGATGCAAACTCACACGTGGGAAATTTCTTTTCTTTACAAGTCCAACCAACTCCACCTCCAAGAGACGATTCAAAATCAAGTTCATCATCATGTAGGGCCCAAAATTATGATCTTTCTAGCAGTGTAACTGACATTCTGCTCACCAGTACGACTCCATTTGGAGATATGGAGCCACAAACTTCATATATCCCTGAGTCTCCGACCCTATCATGCTGCAGTTGCAACTGTAGTTCAGCCGCTATGTGGCTCACAGATGTCCTTGGGATTCATGTCTCCTGTTGCATGGTCCATTTTCCAATCCCAAATTCCTCAATGATGATATCATAAACCAAACAAAGCTCACCTTCATCAAGGAGCGCCAGTATCATGATTCATTTTCCGCACTTAGGGAGGCACTTGTTAGCAGTACTGTGGCCAGGCTATCAGACACCAACCTGAGGAACATAGCTCATATTATGCATGACAGGGGCACCAAATCCCTGTGTGAGGAAACTCATGCCAATGTCGAGGAGGGGAAGAAGTTTGTGGTGAATTATCTTGTTGAGCATCATGACATCCCAGAAGATGACGCTCAAATGGTGACTACAAAGTGGTATGATGAGGTATGTATGTACCTACCATTGGTGATAAGTTCGTGACCCATTGATGCAAACTACTACTTTGACAGGTTGTTGAATGTCATCTCTACTCCAGAAACAATGGTCATGAATTCGATAAGCTGTTGCTGCAAGGAGGTATGATGAGTTGGTGGGAAACCGGATACTGCCCTGCTTTGCTTGGGGGTGACAAGCTTAGGGAGAAAGATGTGGTCAAATTTTTTAACAATGTTTGTAATATCTGATCCTGTAGCTTGACTTGATATTCATGCATGTCTCATAGACTGGTGTTGTGCCAACATCACATCTCGCCATGGGTCCAGGTCTCACAAGCCCGATGCTGTCCTGATGAAGCAGGCACCTCACTACGGACACCTTTCAGTGGGCCAATTTCATCTCTGTGATGGAAATCAAGTACCGCAATAATTTGAAGCTCAACAGCGATATGGTCAGCTACATGGGCAAAATTGCATGTCTTGTTCTGACCAACCAAATCAATCAACAATACTTTGTGGGTTTGACCTTGTTGGGTTCTAATCTCTCCATCTGTGTGCACACCCGTGGAGGATTAAGCATCACCGAGCCTGTTGACGTCTATCAGGACGTTGAGAAGTACTTGAAGATCATCGCTTGGTTCAAGTATGCAGATTTGGAACTTTTGGGTTACAATATGTCCATCTCGGAAAAGCCTGGGGGCGGCATAGAAATGAGGTGGCCGGCAGCTAAGTCAGATGCAGAAGAACTGGCTGCTATGATTGTATCAGTCATCTACAACAGCCAATCCGGCATTGGACAATCTACCAGGGTCATGGGAATTTCTTACATCCTCTCTGCACCCCCCAGTTTGCAACATTCAAATCCTCACCTGATCTGCAAAGACATGTGGCAGAATGTAAACCTTTACTCAGATGCCCAAATTCACCAGTTGCTGGAGGATAGTGAACACATTGGTAAGGCTAAATTGAAGAACGGTGAGTGCAGAGCAAAGACCTATAATCACATATTGATCTCAATGAGTCATTAGATGTCCCTGACACTATAGAGGAAACTGCTCATGAAGTCGAGCTTACACAATCATTATACACACTCTGGAGCGCATCACCTGGATGGGATGCTGATATCTACGGCAAGTATCCCCCGCACCTTCCCATATGTGACAAACAGTTCTTCTTGGATCCTGTCATATTCACCAACCCAAAGAGCAATGAATCGCTCCCAGACACCACAGGATCCATCTTGTGGGGAATGGCTGGCATGGTTGACCCCTTGGTCCACCTTCGCACTTTTTTTTGCACCCCTGCCATGAAATGCACTTGGTTCTCGTGTTGCCGGGAACTTCTACATTGTATACTAGGAGCACTGCTAGGCAAGCATATATGTTTGCCACTAAACATGCCTCACTGATCAATCTTTCCAGATCATCTTGAAGCTTACAGGCGCGGGATTATACACCGAGACACCAGTGACAGCAATGTTTGGGTGTGGATTCCTCAAATCGATGAGCAGTTTGTAGTTCCTGAGTGGATAAAAGAACAAGATGGCAAAACACACTTCAGAATGGCGGTGGTCAACCCAGAGTGGTTTCCTAGGCGTCCTGGGATGGCTGGTGATTTTGGCTTAGCGCTTGACATGTTGGAGAGTCAGAGCGCTGCTAATGGAGTTGTTACCACTGTGTGTCCTCACCCCACTATTTTTTCTTTGTAGACTCACTTTCTCAGGGAACATTCCCTTTTGGCACCAGCACAGAAAATGAGGCTCCTAGCATCACACACGACCTTGAGGCCTACATCTACCTTATATGGCTCATTGGGGTGAACTTCAAGGGTCCCTACAATGATGTCCAACTTTGGCCTCCTCCTGTCAAGAAGCAAAGACCAATCCCCAACAATGCAGTGTCTATGTTGGAGGCAAACAGGCTCACTGCCGAGAAATTTGGCTGTGCTCCTATCGATGAGAAGTGCTTCCCTCCTTCCATGGGTGTTACACAGGTTGGATCGACACGTGTTCTTCCCAAGCGTGAAGAAGACAAAGAGTTTTGGATTCGTCAAAGGAAAGTCCCAGCATGGGCAAAAGTGGATACCTATGACCTTACGACAGAGACTGTGAAGATGGACAAAATATGTCTGGATTCCTCAGATTTCATGGGAGTGCTTCAACCATATTGGAAGGTTGGCACGCTTTGTGATGGATGGATCAAGTTGTACAACCTGCTGTGGCTGACAGACAAAGATGGAAGGGCTGTGGAGGAGAAGCGCACAAAGTTGACTCATGCATGGCTCATCGCTGTGATAAGAGAGATGATAGCTGCCATACCAGCTGTTGTTGATGGTGCACCAAGCCGGGAGGTGGTCTTGGATGCTCGGGAGAGGTATTCTGCCTCCATCAATTGGCTGGTAAATGTGCAGACATTGAAGATCCGACAGTTCCAACCTGTCAGCGTTTATCCTTGTCAGGAATTACCACCACCATCATCAAACCCTTTGCAGGCTGCACCTTCTTCATCCACTTCTGAGCCATTGATTTTTATCCCTTATATGCCGAACTTTGATGTCGCAGGGCCTCAGACGCAGCCACCTACTTCATCCAAAACACGCACTTCTAGCAGGTGCCGCAGTGGACACGTGGGTATGGGCACCAGGAGTGGATCACAGTGGGGCAGGGCAGCACCTACTGCGCCTGTGCTATCACCACATCAGTCACCACATCAGTCTGCACACTCAGCACATCAGTCTGGAGGGCTGTCTGGGACTTCTCATGTTTCCACAGACCCTTCGGTTGGTAGTACATTGACAGAGGGTCATACTTCTGGGTCTGGGTCTGGGTGGTCTGGAGTCACTTGAGTGTCCAACACTGAGAATGAGAACAAATGTCGTTACAGGTTTTGATTAAGGTCAATTTAAGCTGTGCTTTTTGGGAGCGATATGTTGACTATTCATAGATTACACTGTTTATGTGTTTTTTTGTAACAATGAGCAAAGGATCAGTACAAGGCCTGGAACAAGACGCCTGACACATTTCCATCTCTGGACATGATCTATTTTTAGGACATCAATGATCTGGTGTGCACTCACAAGACACGTCCATTTCTTATCTCACTTCCACCTGATCGTTTTGGCTATGACTGTGTTCCACTCTGCACTTCATGCTCTGAATGTCAACATTGAATGCTTTCATAGACGTGATGACGATCCATCAGTCTGCCCTGCTTGCCATAAACAGTTAGGCTCTTCACAAGGAGTTGTAGCTCACCTTTCCACTGCTAGGTCCTGTCAATGGTACAAGAAGGGTAAGATGAAGGCATTGACCCTTCCAGGACAATTCGGTGTGGATGATGAGGTACAGATGGGAGAAGTGGATGAACCACTTCTCGCCCAAGGGGATGAGATGATTGACACAGCCGATCCCACACAGGTCATGCAGGATTTCCAAGATCGGCTCTTCGATCTTGTTCCTATACTATCCCATGCTCCTGACCTAGAACATCACAGACATGATCCTGATGAAAATATCAACCTGCGAATTGAAGTCCCCCACCCCACAGCTGGACGAGTTATATGTATGGATGAAACAGTATACCAGAGGTGGAGGAGGGAGTTTTCTGGAACTGATGAGGAAGGAGATGTGTCTATGGAGGATGTTGGACTCGGAGAGGGATCATCAGCTGCAGTCAATAGGTTTGCACATTTTGCTTCTGAGCTGGACTGGAGGGTAGCCTGCTGGGTGATTCAGGATGGCATAGGGTACAAGTCTTTTGACAGCCTTATGGCCATACCTGGAGTGCATGCTGTTAGTTATGGTATTGAGTTCATCTTACTGACTTTCTATGACAGGTTGGTGAGAAGCTTGGTCTGTTGTACCAGAACATATGCGGCTTACACAAGATCGTTGATGAAGTACCTCCTTGTGCTACATGGAAGAAGCGAGAGCTATGGTTCAAGAATGACCCAGAGGATAAGCACATAGTCCATCACCGTGCTCCCCTGAAGGCTATCAAGACATTACTGGGTAATCCAGCACATGCTGAACATGTGGTCTATAGGCTGAAGAAAATATTTAGTGACACATCTTAGAGTGAGAGGATATATAATGAAGACTCAACTCACACAGTTTACAGGAGGCAAGACTGCATATCCTGTGTATCTGACTCTTGGGAACCTCCCACGAGCTATCCGTTGCAAACCATCACAACAAGCTTGCATACTCATAGCCTATCTATCTGTCAGCAAGATGGTAGGCAAGCAGCTCACTAAGAAGCAGAAGTCAACAAGAATTCAACAACTGTTCTACGACTCAATGCATATTGTCCTGGATCCACTGATAGAGGCGGGAAAGAAAGGGATGGAGGTGACTGGGGGGGATGGCAAGGTGCGGATAATGTACCCCATCTTGGCTTGCTATGTCGCAGATTATCCAGAACAGTGTCTGGTAACATGCCCCAAGTATAGGACATGTCCAAAGTGCCAAGTAAGTGATGATGAGATGGGTGAGAGAGAAGCAGCAGGCTGGAGGACTCAACGCAGGACTTCAAAGCTCATATGTATTGCTAGGGAGAAGGTGACCTCTATCAGCAACTTTCAAGAACTATGCAAAGCAGACAACATATCAGGAGGAGTTTGTCATCTTTTTTGGGAGGACTTCCCTCATTGCGATATCCACATGGGTATAACCTCAGATATTCTTCATCAGCTGTACTGGGGAGTCGTCAAGCACCTGGAACACTGGTGCACCAGTCTAATGACAACTGCAGAGTTGAATTCCTGTGCGTTACAGGTGATACTCTGCTATAGAGCTCTACTCGACTTTATCTACATGGCCCAGTATCCCACACATGATGACTCTACCCTCCAGTATCTCACCAACGCCCTGGATGAATTTCATGCAAACAAGGACATCCTGGTGGATCTTGAAATACGCAATCACTTCAACATACCAAAGTTCCACTCGATGCTGCACTATGACGAGTGCATACATAATTTCGGAACTACCTATAATTATAATACTGAAATGTTCGAACAATTTCATATAGACTATGCCAAGGAAGCATGGAGAGCATCCAACTTTCACAATTAGCTTCCTCAGATGACTCAGTGGCTGAGTCACCAGGAAAAAATAGTCATGTTCTGGAGCTACATCTCTCACTATCAATCCAAGGAGGAGAGGCAAGAGGAGGTCAATGAAGCTGTGGATGGAAGAAACCAGGATGTTGGTGTAGTGACAGCCAAGAGACCAGCTGCTCCCTCCCAGACCCTTTCCAACATCCAAAACAAGCACAGTTGTCCCTCTTTTTCATATCACTTACACATTTTCCTTGACAAATTTCTTACTAGAGGAGATTCTATACCTCGTACTCAAGTTGGCAATGCTTTTCTTCCTTTGATAAGCTAGATGTTTGGCATTCTTTTAAATTCTCACTAGATACTCTTGGGAACGACATAGATGGCCAGGAAGGTATAGATTTGGCCAGGGCACAACCAGGTAGAGGAGAGAGTCCAGGGAGGTTTGATGTAGTGATGGTCACTCACAAGGATGGGGCTGAGTCTACTGGACTTCATGGTGCGCCTCCATATGTTTCTAATACTTGATAGCTCTAAAGCTTAGCATTTCTTTATTGTATTTAGGAATGAAAGTTGGTAGGCTGAGACTTATATTCCGCCTTCCAGAAGTAATTGGCCTTTATAATGAAGCTCCTACAGTCTGGCCAAAGCACCATTTTGCATATATAGAGTGGCAAACTGTGTCCCAGTCACTTGGTGCCCATCACAATATGTACTCAGTTACCAAGCCTCTCCCTTTGGACACTACTGGACATTTGCTTGGTGATATTGTCCTTCTTTCTACTATATGATAGTCTTGTCAGCTTATACCATACTTGGGAGCTGGTGTAGGATGGCCTGAGGACTGGAGATCTAACAGTGTACTTGATGCGTGTCCCACTTTTTTGCTTAACAATTGGTCTAGTAAGTATGTGTATCAAACTCTATGGTAGTACATGCTATTGGTGACTATATTAGTTCTTTTCACCTACACCAAGTATAAAAAATACTTCTATATGACATCTATATTCAATAATATTCCATTAGTGTACAAAAGTGTACCATTTGTACATAGAGTCAAATAAAACCAAAAATAGTAAAATCACATTTTCCTGATGCTGACGTCAAGGTGAGGCTGTTTCATCTTCATATGTTGAGCAGTGAAGTTGCCATCTACCACATATCTCTGCATAATCAGCCAGCTATTAAATATAAATCAGCTTTACTGCAGAAGTCTACTATGTCCTATGTGTGAAGAAAAGCAGAGTCATCCGGCCGGCCTCTAGATATGTCCTATACATAATTCAAGACTAGCCGGTTTGTCTGGTGAGGATGTAATATAGGAGGGAATCGGCCAGTAATAAAGTCATAGACCAGAATTACTTACCTTACATATTGATCCTGCCAACCAAGAGGCATATTAATTCCAGGCTGTGGACAGGCAACACAAAACCAAACCAGGTCACCAGCCCCAGGAGTTACCTTTGTATCATGTCCAAATCCAAATTGTTTTCAATTTATTAAATCCCTCCATTGACAAGATGCCCTCATCAGTTCTCGATATTGATCCTGTAAAGGAACAAAGTGCAAGTCAATCAAAAAGAATATCATTACAGATGCAACAGCTTACTGGAATAGAGTCCGGAAGAGCATTACTGGTAAGACATCGAAGCTTTTGGAAGAAGCTCATGGCAGATGTCTTGCATTCAAGGGTGTCAATGAGAAAGTGATCAAGGATGTCAAAGGTGAAGGCAGTCCGATGTGATGCTCAGACCCACACTGGGCAGGAAACAGGGTATTTTCATATGTGTCAAGGAGTATAGGACACTATCAGTTTCAGTATCATTGTCTACCTTTGTCCTGCAAGTAACCCTTGTCCTAAACCAAACCCGCTTTCCTGCACTTTGCGCATCCGCTTATCTGCACTTTCCTGCACATCGGAAACGCAATAGGAAAGTCCCTCGTCCATCCATAGTCCATCCAAACCCCATTGGTATGTGAATTTCCTTACCTCAAGGCTTGTAAAATGTGTTGCAGCCTTATTACATGTCCTTACATATTTACTATATTTCCTATCCCTTCCTACTCCAAGTGGGATTTTAGATAGTACAAGTTGCCTATACTTTGGGACTACTTAATACACTTCTCTCGGACTGTACACCTCCCTTGTACTGTATACCTCACCCTATAGGTTTACCTTCAAAGTAGTCCCTTGTAGTGTGCGCTTTTTAGCCCCTATTAGGTCCCTTATATCTCTCTATACCTAGGATCCATTACCTTGCAATATACCTTTGCCCTCATTCCCTTGAAATCTCATTCCTTAACCTCCCTATACCTTGCCTGCACTTTCCCGCACTTTCCACATCTTTTTAGACCATCACTACTCCAAAGACCAAGGCTCGGCTAACCCAAAATTTTCCTTGCCTTAATTAGCTAGTGTCTCCTCCACCAGTTCTTGACTTCATTGTCCTCAATTTCTTCTTGCACTTGTGACCCAATAAGTTCAAAAAGTTCTTCAGAACTGGAAATCCAGGCCTGGATACCCCTACCCTATCATGTACCTTATCCTTCATGAAATGTGCAATAATAAATCATTCTCCTGTTTTCCAGGGACCAACCGAGTGCATCAAAACCTTCCCACGTGTGTAAGCCAATTTGCAAGATAATCAATAATTTAACCTTACCTTCCCCAAGATGAAATTCATTGTTCCAGGACCATAACCAAGTTTAGCCTCGAGATCTTCAATAGAAAATGTAGCATCATACCCAATACCCAAACTGACCAGAAGATCATAATGGGATGGAGCTCCACCAGGATCATGATGACTCAAAGTCACATGATTCACAATGACTTCCAATCCTAAAAAAATGGAGGGCTACCGATGTACCAGAACTGGCTTTTTGGGCTGCTGAGTTTGTTCCAATACCTCTGAGATTGTATGGTAGCCTGTTTGAAATAACTCTGGCACTACAACTGCTGTTATGGCATTCCAGAAAAATTCTGTACTTGACATGGCATCTAGCCAATTTTGAACTGAGTCCTGGGAGTAGGATGCCGATACAACCAATGGGTCATGAAGCCTCTGATTAATTAATGTGTTCAGATTTATTATTCCAACAAAACCCTCCTAAAACCACCTCTCGTCGTAACATGAAATAACCTAGCAACACTATAAGTTGTCCTGCCCCAAATACCCCCCCTCCCTCAGGCACCACGAAGCCATCAGAATGCTAAGAATGCTTCTGATCGGTGGCATTAGGAATTGATCAAAGGAGCAAATCTCGAAGGGCCATAGTAGCAGTGTTGATGAAGTTCTTGATAATAAATTAGCTGTTACAAGCCATTACTTTGGGTCAGAAGCTCACCACACAAGAAAGTGAGAGAATATTGGGGAGATGCCACCAAAATTTTACCATTGCAATCAATGATTATAGCTGGCTCTGAAATTTTTCTGAGCACTGTCTTGCTGAAATATTTATGGATCTTATCACCTTGGGTTGGTGCTCCATTGGCCAGAACAGGGGAGCATTTGACCTTATTGGCATACCGATCAACATCCCAATTGATGTAGTCTGTCTCACACATGTCAAAATAATAATTTAAAATGAACTCTAATGTGTTGGCTTACACAGGTTCACAATAGCATGGGCGATAGTCAGGGCTGCACAATCAATTTCATACCCCATCACCCCAACATCATCACTAGGCTCTTTTGGCTCAGATGACATGCAAGTTTGAAGTCGCAAATGAATCCTCATCCTAGACCAGTTAGCCAGTGTTAAAATGACAGAAAGACTACCTACCTAGCCTTTTGTAAGAGATGAGGTACAAGCACACTGTTCTTGAGGACAGGCACTGCAGAGGCGTCCTTCATGATTTCATCTATCTTAGAACTCAGAGAGTGATGTAAACTCCTTGACTCCATGCCTAGAGAGTCATCAACTATGGTATTTGGCATAGCAATGAGAAGGCCCAAGACAGTGAAACCAACAGTTGTGGATGAACATATTAAGCTGGTATGTTGAAAATTTTTGCTTGGTTGGCTTCCAAATTTAGCAGTGAACTTAATTTAGTTTTGATCCAAATTAGCAGCCGACTAACTTCTATGATAGAAGCTCGCCCACAAAATGAGGCTCAGCTAAATGAGACTTGCCATTAATGGTCAAACACATGCCACGAGTGATGCCTCGTGCCAGTTTGAAAATTGTTCCCCATGTGAGTTCATGTCAATCAAGAAGTGTCTGCACCTTCTTACAGTGAGCAATATAGTTGACATCTAACTCTACACCAAATTTAGAGGAAGATGATGTTATGGTAACCCACAACTGTGGGTGGGGGGTGGAGAGAACTTTCGTTTAACTGCTGGTGGGGGAGGCCACTGACCAGTCTGGTGCACGCTTCAGGCCTGTCATGATGGATCCAACAGATGACATCAAGGTCATGCAACTTGAGAACAACAAAGATTCTCAGTCGACAGTCCTGATCCAGAATCACTGTCCAACTCTATCACTGGTTTGGAGAATACTGATTATTAATAAAAGTGTGGATCAGGGAGAGATAGCCTATATCTTTGAGCTATTAACTCAAGGGAGTGAATAATATATTCAATTGAGCAAACTTGACACATGCATATCCTTGTCATGCCACACACATCTTGGTGAATCTATATCTATCCTTGGTGCTTGAGGCATTATCTCTTGCGAAATAGAAAGTTTTGCTCTGAGAATTTTTGCTAATGGTTGAATTGGAGGCTGGGAGTGGTCTATAGAGTTGCAATATTCAATTGAATTCATGTCAATGTGAATTGTCAATGCATACCACAAAGAAGTGAGACTCAATGAGGCTTGCCCAATAATTGAGACAACAGAAAGTAAAAAGAAAAATGTGTATTAAATTGTAGTAGTAAACAGAATTACAAGACATAGATAGGGTGTAGGGAACTAAGTGAAACTTGCCATTGATGGTCAAGTTCTCTTCCAAGAAATGAGACTCACTGTATTAAGTCTTGCATTGATCTAGATGCAAATACTTGGAAGGGTGCGCTACACTAGTAGCACCCAGGCATATCACACAAAATATATTCCCACAATCATGTGACTTTTTTTTGAAGCAAAAATTTGTGAACTAGCATCTGCCAGTATTTTAAATATAAGTGCTAGTGTGACATTGTGTTTTGTACTACAAAGAATGTATTGCATACTACAAGGATAACAAATAAAGGGGAGAAGCAAGACTTGAGTGAGGGGGCCCACCTCACACAAGTCTTACCCTCCAATAGAACAGTAGGTAGAAAAAAATATGTAGATGTTAAAAAACCCCTGTAGTGAACACATGAGACAGACTTTCTAACAAGAATAGACACTTAACTTTGAAACGGTGGGGACTGTTGAGTGTTACTACAGAATACTGCAAAAACACATCAGACAGAAATCTACAGAAGGCGGAACACTTACCTTGGATATCTGTGACTAGCTGATTGGTGAGGAACATAATGAAGGAAGACACCTACTATTAATAGGTAGGAAGTGCCAGGTGCCATATACTGCAAAGTCAGAATCAAAGGCAGAAAGTGCTAGGTGCCATGAGGAACATAATGAAGGGAGACACCTACTATTAATAGGTAGGAAGCACCAGGTGCCATGCACTGCCAAGTTCCTCAGAATCAAAGGCAGGAAGTGCCAGGCGCCATGCACTGCAAAGTCAGAATAAAAGGCAGGAAGTACTAGGTACCATGCACTGCAAAGTCCCTCAGACTCAAAGGCAGGAAGCGCCAGGCACTATGCACTGCAAGTCCCCCAGGCTCAATTCAAAGGGTGACTGAAAAAAATATGTGTAAGTCTCACAATGAAGATGTGCAACTTACCATGTACACAAAGTAGTAAGTGTAAGCTAACAAATGAAGATTTCAGCCTAAGGATGCAGAGACGACATTCACTCACCAATGTAGCAGAAAACATAGCCTAATCCAAAAGAATGTCAGCATTAAGGGTGCAGAAAATATGCTCACTTACCTTTGCAATGAAAGGTAACTGAAAATATATAGAATTAGTATGTAGATGAGGCAAGGATGACCACTTACTGGGATAAATGGCAGCTCCAGAGTCTCTAGCTCCTTTGGATCCTTGCAGGCTGCAGTCCTGCAATGACCCAAAGATAACCTAAAGACATTGGACATCATCTTCATGCACTGGAAGTCACTGATTACTCATGCACCAGAGTCTTACCTCTGGATGTTCTCATGCAGCTCACTCATCAACAATACTGAAAGTTTTTCGTACTTGCAATTGTCTGTCCTTCAGTGAGTTTTTTTCCATCTATTCCTTAATACACAGCGGCTAATTTCACACTTGCCATCAGACACCATATTTCGGCTACTGTCTGTTTCAATGCCATCCACTTCCAGCCATCCACAGCTTTGCATCTTCTGCTGGCGTTCACCAAGTGGTTGCCCATCCGCACAGTGTTTCCCGACATACTGGGGCAATCCTACAAACTGGGACGGCACTCTGATGTATTTTTGATCCTCAGGAAGGATTCCACCTCCTTGGACATCACTAAGTTCCTGTGGATGCATAGTTCACATCACTCCTGGGGACAATTCCTTCCAGTCCAATGCTGCCAGTGCGGCTGGGCTGATGCTTGGACTTCTGTCCACCAGCACAAGGTCTATGCATTCAAGTGCAGGAATGGCCTATGCAAGAAACAATCACATGACTCATTTGACACAATTGTTGATTGAAATTATCGCTGTCAGCCAGCTGCATCCTGCTGTCAGTACTTGTCAACCCACGTTGCTGCATTCTTAAAATATCTTCCCCTGATATGTCTATGTCTTTGTATTGGACAGATAGCTTCAAGTCTATTCTTGTACATTATAAGAAGGACTTCCTGTCCATCAAAGATTCGAAAAAGAACCGATCATATATAACCAAGAAAATTCAAAAGGCTATACTTGCAGCCCACAAGGAACAAGATGAAGAAGTAGCTGTGCCAAGTTCTTTTAAAAAGGTAATATATTCAGGGGAGTTTGTTGTGTGACTGATTTACTATGCTACATACCAGGCAATCAAACAGTACTATTCTGAAAAAATCTCTAAAGACGAGGAATCTGATTTGGAAGGAGATGTGAAAGAAAGAGAGGTTGCTGCCCGTCCAAAAGAAGCTTCATTTTATAAGAAGAGGCTCACTGACTGAGATGTTGCCCAGAAATTATTCAAGCAGGAAATTGATGCCTTTGACAAGGTGGAGCAGGCAAAAAAAGGAGTGAAAAATGCCATCAAATATTGTATAGGTCATGCATGCGAATGGTTCAACAACATGTCTTCTCAGCAAATCAAAGAAGTCAATGATGCAAAGGAGAAGTGGAACAAGGAAAGTGCACCTGAGGAAAGCCAGGCTAAGTAAGTTTAGTTAAAATGTTTTCGTGTTGGGTCTAATATCAGTGAAGTTACTGTAAGAATAACCTCAAAAAAACACTTGAGGATTTTTCTGAGCAACTTTGTCATACTATGGGCTGTCGTGTGGTCGCACTTGTTAGTCACAAGAAGCAAGCAGACCAAACATTGTCTCATAAATCAAAATCTAACTAACTACTACCTTTTAGACACAAATCTCAACCCCAGAATGTCAAAAAAAACTTTTCTGTTAGCTCTAACAGTATCAGAGAGTGGGCTTCGACAGGCTTTGAGTTCTTTGCAGAGTGGTCAAAGGCGGAGCTTTGTATGTTTTTCTTCCAAAGTGGACGTAGACATTACTCATTGTAATTGACAGATCTGAACAGTGAAGATGATGAAGTCAAGGAGGTTGAGGATGACAATGGGCTACCCAAAGTTGCTCTGGATGATGAGGGCTATGCCAAACTACCTTCTCATGATGGTATCGGACTCAAGGGCCAACAAGAACTGGTGCGAACAATTTTTCTCGCTTCATATAGTAAGTTTCCATGTCATTTCTTGTCATACATTTAGTTGATCAGTTGGTTTGTAGAAGCTTTCACCCACAGTCGTAAGCTGGTACCTTGGGCAAGAGTCATATCTTCCAAAGGATGTCCATGAGTCAAAGGACGTATTGATGGGCTGCTTGAAGATGCTGGGTAATGCCCCTGTGGTGACTGCATATTCAGCCATACTCATGGTTTTGGACCTCAGATTAATTTTGAGGAATTGTAAACATGTTATTGAGTATGAAGAAGACGAAGCCCTACCTGATACCAATCATGGGAGACTTCCTCTTTCTGCTCCCTCTGACTTCTGGCTCAAGGTCAACAGCAACCACCCTACCTTTTCCTTTGTCCCAGAACTTGGAGGTCATCTTGCTGGACAAACTGGCGACATTGCCAGCGATGACAGGAGGGGATGGAAGGACAGGTGCGGGGAGAGGGACAGGTGGAGACAGAAGATTGACAGTCAGTGGGCCGGTGGAAGGATTAGGAACAAGGACTTCCCCTGTGCCGGCCGGGATGTGCCAAGCACCAGCAATGATGCCCACAAGCTGAGCAGTGGATGCCTTGAGGCTGTCAATCAGTTCCTCAGTGCATCAGATATCATGAGCTCTCAACCTGGGGTCAGATTTCATGACCCTCCAGTCACTGAATGCACCTCAATGGATGTGGCTGAGTCCTCCAAGTCCTGGATGTCCCTTGGTATGTTTTGTTTTTGTGATTTCATTCAATTGACTGGACATGTTTTAGATGCATTAGATGATATATACCTTGGGCCGGATGATGAGTTAGACTCTGATTCTGGGTCATCTGGTGATTCGGATGCGTTGAATGTGATTCCCGGTATGTTTCTCAATTCAAATGTACATATTCTGCATGTGCAGATTCATCACATACTCCCAGATTCATCATATCTGGCCCAGGCTGAGGAACTTGCTTTGTATGACGACCCAGACTTGTATCTTGGTCTGGAGGATACCTCAAGTGAGTCTGATGATACTCCAGCTGTACCTGATTCACCAATGAGTGGTGAGTTTATTGTTCCCATCTCATGTTCATTCTTCATGGCATTTCCCAAGTGAATGAATCGACTCCCGAACGTTATCCAGCCAGTCCAGCTGTATTGGAGGCACCCATACCTTGTAAGTGTATTCATATCATGTCATGCTTTCTATGCACATTATCTCCTAAGCAAATCCAGCAACTGCCAAATGTCACTTGCCCGAGCCAGCACTCGACAATGAAGCACTGTGTGCCATGGTTCAGGAGTTCATGCCAATCAGATCTTATGATCACACTGAAAGTAAGTATACCACAGTTGATTATTTATCTCTGCTAATTTTCTGCAAGTTCAAACAATTGTAGATTGCCTGGGTGATTACCAACAGCGTTATGGAAATCTTCCTAGCCTACAGTAGCACAACTCCTTGAGGCTGACAGACCATTCCGGATGGCATGGGCTGAAACATGTGACAAACTCTGGAAAGCAGATGCAGACCTCCGGAGGATGCAAAGGGTAAGGGAGTCAACCTCCGAAATGCTGAAGGTATTAGATACCCTCATTGACTTCTTTGAGGACTCAAGTGACATGTAAATATCAATCAATGTCTGATAGTAGACACATTGCAATATACTTTGCCTACTCAGCCCTTAGCACTTGGTACTGGTCAACTCTACCTATGCAGTACTTGGTACCCGGTGCTCGGTGCTCAGTGCTCAGTACTCGGTGCTCGGTACTCGGTGCTCGGTACTCGGTGCTCGGTACTCGGTGCTCGGTACTTAGGCCTTGGTACTTGAGATTTGGAATTTGGGATTCCGTCGTTGGTACTTTGACATATACACCATAGCACATATGATAGTACACATGGGGGCAGGAACATATATCTACATTAAGTGCATCCCCGTGCTCTGGTTACTCTAGGTGTACTGTCTACTGGCATTTGCAACTTACTCTGGGTCGTCCTCACAGATGGTTCAACCGTGGCTTTCTTGCCTTGCCTCCTTTTTTGTGCCAGCAGTGTGATACTCTCTTCCATTTCAACATCATCTCTAACCTCACCCGTCGCATCGTCAGTTAACCCAGCAAGGAGGTCTCCCATTCGTGATGTCAGTAATGCACCTTTTGTGGCCGGCTTGGCCGGGCGAGGCTTTGGAATCTTCAGTGGAGGTCTCCTGTCAGCCAGGTCATCATCCACATTATGCTCTGTATGATGAGTGGCACTCTCTGTATCACTCTCGGCTTCTGTCGATGAATCCCGAGGCCTTCAGATTGTAACTCTTTGCTGCTTTCTCACTATACAAGTCTGAGGAGAGGGCGATGTGCCAGATATGACTGATGGTAGCATGTCTCCATCTTTGTTTTTCCATGCTTTGAACAGAAATGTGGGACCTTCGCCTGTTTCCTGCCGAGCACACCAGAAATGGAGCAAGGCAGTCATGTCCCAATTTTGCAGCTTTGAAGGCTCCTTCAAGTCAATATCTGCCAGAAGATACGTCCAGGCCATGAAGTCATCCTGACTTTGTACGATGGCACTCCATAGCACAACTGCCTTGTCCTTCCTGGAACATATCCCTGTGTCCATGCATTCAACAATTTCTCAGATGATGCGACGAGAAACTCACGATAGTGCAATGTAAGAAAGGCCCTCACCATGGCCTTCTTCTCCTCAAGTTTCATGTCCATGATGTCCAGAAAGAACGGCATACCTTCCCTGTCCATTTCGAGTTTGAAAGCTGGTTTTCAAATTCTTTTTCGACCTCCCTTGACCTGACATCCTCCATCCTGTGCCCTGGTGCCTATCATTGTGATGCTCAATACGTTCAATCTGGTATACATGGTTCAACACTCACCAAACTGTTCCTGTGCATACTCCTGCCACACTGGCTTAATTCCTCCCAGTCCTTTGTCTTCATGAAGCTATCTCCAGAGGTGGACAGTTGTTGGACCACTCTTCCGCTGTTTCTTTCGCCTTCTCTAACTCATCATCATCCAATTCAGCCATGACTCTCTTCACCGCTGCCTGATAATGTTTGAACATACCAGGATCTCCTGGCTTTACCACGGACTCGTCCTTGTCCTTCCTTTGCTTCATTTTCTTGGTGTTGAACAACCAAGTCTTGTACACCCAAGAGTTGATGAAATAATGTGATGTTAAAAATTTAGTTTTTCAACACAATAAAGAAGCATCACCTGCTTCCTCTTTTCCATTGTTTTTGGTCCAACTTAGGAGCAAACAACCTGGCCGCCCTTGCTATGGCAGTGAAAATCCCTCCCTTCTCACTTCTTTTGGCAGCAGTCCACCCAGGAAGGTAGTTCTTCAACTCCAAAATCACCTTGTCCATGAGCTTCTGTGACTGTGGTTGACACGCCCTATGTCTTCCAGAAGTCGTGTTGGTGGAATGACCTGTTCTTGCCATAGTGAATCAGAATGCAGAATGGGCTGAGGATTTGCAAGGTGGAAGTATTAATGAATTGTGCGAAGTTGAACTAAGAGCAAAGCCTAATGATGGGTTAATCGGCCCATATTGGACGTGAAGCCATTAATGGAAATGAATTTGTAATGAGCCAACAGGACTACACAGCATCATATTGCAATAACAATTCATTACACCTGAGCTGATGCCTTGCTTGCAATATTAGTAAACAAGATGAAGATAGGTAGATGCAACAGGGTGGAAGCAAGGGGCAGCAAAGGTAAGAAGACTTGGGTTAAGGTCCCACTTGCAAGCATGAGGCGACATGCCTACAGGTCCATGCCTAACTCTCCCTTAGAATCACCAACAATTCAGCCTGTTGAGGGACCACCTCCTTGGGAAGACTGTCCTGACAATACTTACGAGCAGGACCAAGGTTCATTTGAGCCTTTGCAACTCCCAAAAACCATGGTAAGTTCATGTACAATGTTGGAGTGTCATTAAAACTATCGCTAAGCATTCAAAAATACAGAGTCAAAATGACTACCTCAGGCAATGGCTGCCAAGGCAGGAATCATATCTGCCATTTGTGTCCAGACCTGAGTTCCAGCTGAAGGAAAACACCATGGTTATTGTTGACAAGTCCGGAGTTCATCACCTGGAGGTTTGATGCTGTGATTGTCCAAATGCCATGAGTCCGGACATTCAAATGTTTCTACATGGATTTTCCCTGCATCTTTCAACAGGCTGAAGACTGTGTTCACCTTCAGAGTGCTCGATGATTTTCTACTGGACAACCTTAAATGCGGCACCTTGGCAATGAACTATTACAGCAAGCTCTGGCAAATGACCTCGAGCATGTTTCCACACCTTGTTCTGGTAATACCTTACCCTCTTCATCAACTGGATATCATATTGACAAAGCACATGGCAAGGACCGATACAGAGAGCTCATGAGGGTTGCTCAACAGTGGAGACAGTTGAAGATAATGAAATGGCATGGCTTTGGCCATCGTTCCAATAACCTGAGCACAGGAGAACTCACTTTATTTTTCCTGGCATCTCCTCAGCCTGGTATTAATGTGCTATCAGAGAATGAATCACTTGATGAGTGAGTCCTGTTTGCAACCAATGTAGCCTCCACAATAATACGAGTGCTCCGAGCTGGAAATATACCCAGTCATTTGTGATAGATGGAAATTTCAAAGCTAAACATCTGCATTCCATTAAGCCATTCAATGAAGTTTGGCTGTCCGATGGGCTTGGACTCATAGTAGAAAAGGACAGGTATAAAATGCATCTGGCAAAGGCTGCTGACATGGTGGAAAAATCAAGCTGCAACAACCACCAGGCAGTAAATCAAGCTAATGCTTCTCAGCACAAGCTGGAGTCTACTGGTATCGGGGGAGTTGCCTGTGCCCGACACGGTTGCTTTGTCCCTCACTTCATGGTGGATTTTCAGAAATGTGAAACACAAGCCACATGCACCATTCCACATTCATGAGTTAACCATGCATCACTTGCAGACAAATGAACATGGACTACGCCCTTTGTGAGGCTTCCCAGCACGACATGGAAGGCATCACTAGGGCTGTCACCTTCTATGATATCAACTGTCAATACAACAAACACTTTCGGGTTCGGGTGGATCAAAG